TTTTTTTTTTTTTAAAGTGTATAATTATAAAAGGGAAGCTTATCTATGGAAAAGTAATAATTTTGTGCCAACTACCTTGGAAATTCATCATCCTAAGATTTGATCCTAAGATCCATGGATCTTATCCTAAATAAGTGTTATTGACACAGGCTCTTTCTAGCTTACTGGTGTCCACTTTGATTGCTAATTTGACTATAATTTAATCTAGTTAAGGAGGTTGCTGCAGGAAGGTAGGAGTAGCATGTGACATGTTGGCCACTGCAGGGAAGGCCCCTGCTTTGTCACAGAAGGATAAAGAGGTAAAAGCCCACTCCCTTTTGTTACCCTGGTAAGTGGCTTTTCTGAACTCACTTGAGATGTGCTGAGAGAAGCACCCTGCCCAGAAAGGTAGCCTTGAGGTTTTTTTTATTAAGCAAATATTTCAAGTTGTGGATTCTTTTAGAGTTAGTCCATCCCTTGTCTGCTTTCTTAAAAAAGCTTCAAATGAAAATGGGAAGTTATAACCTGAGAGACATTTTGAAAAGGAGTGTGCTCTCCTGCCACTTTGCTCTTCCTAGATGAATACGTTGCCAGCTTGCACCTGCCATCATTTGATGCCCACCTTACAGAGCTGACAGATGACCAAGCAAAATATCTGGGACTCAACAAAAATGGGCCATTCAAACCTAATTATTACAGGTAAACCTGGGGAGAAGCAAGTGAAAAGCTCTTTTTCCCAGTATTAAACCAAGCAGGCTAGCCTGTTTCTGACATAAAGATCAAATGTTGTACCAGAGTACAAGAAATCTGTTCCAGGCCAGGCACGGTGGCTCACACCTGTAATCCCAGCACTTTGAGAGGTCTAGGCGGGTGGATCACAAGGTCAGGAGTTCAAGACCACCCTGGCCAACATGGTGAAGCCCTATCTCTTAGCCGGGCATGGTGGCAGGCACCTGTAATCCCAGTTACTCAGGTAGCTGAGGCACAAGAATCACTTGAACCCGGGAGGCAGAGGTTGCAGTGAGCCAGGATCACACCACTGCACTCCAGCCTGGGTGATGGAGTGAGACTCTGTCTTTAAAAAAAAAAAAAAAAAAAAAAAAAACCTGTTCCAGTTAACAAGGTAGATAGAGAAATTGTCGTAGATGTAAGGGAGTTTGGGGCTTTTTTGAAATTTTGGAGCCTGGGCCTCACCCCAAGAGATTCTGATATATATAGTCTGCGATGGGACCAAATTTACAAAACATTATTTTGTAAAACCTCCTCAGATTATTGTAATGTTTAGTCAGGGTTGAAAAACACTGACTCGGCCGGGCGCGGTGGCTCAAGCCTGTAATCTCAGCACTTTGGGAGGCCGAGACGGGC